AATTGGGAAAACTTAGTGGGGGCTATGGAAGAAGACTCGAAGCCCAATGTTTTTATCTCTAATAGCAATTTCAAGATTCGTACTCTAAATGTGTCAAAATAGCATTACAACTTCAGAATTTTTTTTTTTAAAGAAAACTAAGTGTTGAGACTGTGCTGGAGCACAAAGTTTTATGCTCGAGCACAAACCTCCTGAAAGTTTCCAAAAGCTGCGGGAATTATGCAAAATCATTTTTCTTTATTTCTTTCTTGGCCCAATTGTTCCCAAAAGCTGCAAAACTCATCCAAATGGGATTATAACTTGTTCTCCATTATAAAAGAAGATAAGAAAACACATTGACGATCTCTCTCCTCCCCCCCGCCCCCAACTCTCTTCTCTCTCTTGGTTCTCTTCCCTTGTGACGGCTTTTAAGGTTTTGAAGATTGAATATTCCAATTGGCGGTCCATGGAGATAGCTTTTACACCAACAATGATGATATCCTTCCTCTCCATAAGTAGCTAAAGCATTCCTTAGGGAATTGATGTAACCCTAGTCCAAGTAGTATGATATGATTGTTCTTAACTTTAAAGATTTTTATATGTATATTGATTGCATAGTTTTGAGCAATTGACTTAGTTGTACTAAACAATTGAGTTTTAATGAAAATAATTGGTTTTTGATGAAATTGATCTCGTCTTAGAATTAATTTTGCTTTAATCAAATTCAAACTATTTTTATTATGGGAGATTGGTGGCTAAGGGCTTCTCTTAACAGTTTAAGTAGTGATTATGCAATGGTGCTTAATTGAATATGTATGGATGAATGTTTTGATAATTCATATCTAGGGAAGATGAATTGTATTGCACCCTAGATTAGAATAGTTAGGTAGACAATTCGTGCCAACCGAAGATGAGTTATGGTTTAGTGTTTATTCATAAATGTCTTCTTAATTGAATTAAAGTGTGATTGTAGCCACTTGATCCCGAATATACATAAGTTTGAATTTCCCCATAAGCTGAAGCAATTGACCATGTTATGAGGCTAGCGGTGAAGTCAATCCCTAAGTTCTTCTCACTTTGATCTCACCCTTTGTTAATTTAGTTTATTTTCAGTTCTATTACAATTTATAAATAGAAAACAACAAAATCATATTTCTCTTGAATTAAATTAGGATTAATTTTATACTTGACAATCCATCACAGTCCTTGAGATTCGACACCCTCAACATAGTCCTATCCTACAAGGATTCATTCTATTACGAGTGGTTTTTATCATTGAGAAAACACACATTACAACACACCCCCTACCTCATTTGAGATGAAAATCCCAAAAATACCGAAATGCTCCAATTAAGCCACAACTTTGGAGGGCTGAAGAGGATGATGAGTGGAACAATAAAGTCTCCTACAGCCGCTTCAAAATCTAAATCCGAACTCACCCCAAAATCCTGAAAATGCTATGAACTCAAAATAAAGATAAGGGTTTTGGAGCCCTTAGTGGCCCCATTGTATCTCTCTTCTACAGTGTTGGCAAAATCCAACATGAAGGAGATGAAACCGGTTCTTGAAGCCAAGATCCAAAAAGAAAAGGAAAAAAAAAAAAAAAAAACAGAAAAAGGAAAGGAAAAAGGGGGAGAGAAAATCTTATGTTTCTCTCTCCTCCAACATATATACATACATAAATATTTGCCGTGAGCCTAGCTAATTTCCAAAAATCACAAAAAGGCCCAAAATCAAAATATTTCAGAAAATAATAACGCAATCGACCCAAAATAAAATATGACGTCCAATGTGTCCTAAATGAAATATATATATTCAATATATCCCAAAATAATAAATTCAAAGTGTTGAAAAAAATTTCTCAAACACTTGACCCAGCCCGGCCCCACATGACCCGAAACCCGAAAAAGTCGAAAAAAGAAAATTGGGAAAATAAAAGAAAATTGGTCCTCACAATATATATACACACACACACACACACACACACTCATACTGATTTAGGTTTGAGATTGAATGTAAATGGATTTAATAGAGGAGGAGAGATGGTGCTTGGATTAATTTATATGTATATATGTGTGTGTGTGTGTGTGTAAGTAGAGAGAGAATATGGGTATTCTGTGTAAAGAGATTAGTCCATTAAAATTATTTAGGTGATTAAATTTATAATTTAATGATTCAAATGTGGTTGTTGATAAGTCATAGAGCATTTAGGTCAATTTTATTTTTTTGTGCTTCCGATATATACAATGGTCAAGAGTGGGTGTTTTTGTAAGATTTCCAAACTTTAGGGGGCACTATTTTCCAAATTTCATTGACTTGCATCTATATGATATTGACCAAAATTTCAAGGGGGTGTTAGTGCAATTAACCCGAGGAAGACCGATGGGTTGGGGGATCTTGGGTGAGTAATTACTATTGCTTAAGTTGAAAATTTGATTTTTCGTAATAATTGAAAAATGAAGGATAAAATGGAAAGTCTACTTGTGCATTTGGATAGAAGTTACTTCATTAACTAAATAGATCATATATGTATATTTTTACTAAAACTAACCACAATTATTTTAAAAAAAATATTTGTGGATGAGAATTGAAAACACTAGATAAAAAATGCTAGGGTAATGCAATTTACTTGAACACAATAAAAGAAGAAAAATAAAAGACAAAAGCGTCAAAAAAAAAAACCGTAAGGTTTCACCAAATGAGCATAATACCCTTATGTGGTATGAAAGTGAGCAAGTCAGTCCTTGCAGTGTCAAAAGTAAGCAACTTGCCCCCTGCATTTCACTTTCGACCACTTTTCGTCTAATATCATTGTGCATTTACCAAACAACCCCATATAATTAACTTTTTTAGAAAAGGTAAAAATACAAAAAATACCTTAAAAGCCCTCTAAATAAATTGATGCATTATATGGTCATAAATTGACTAAGTGTGTAATTGTTCATCTGGGTTGTAAATGAAGCTGGACACTACTCTCAAAAGAGTACCTATTTTTCTTTTTCTTATGTTTTATATTATGCCTCATCTTTCTCTAAAAGGTCTATTCCTTTGCAAATTTTATACCATACAGATGAGGATAGATCAAAGATCTAGTTGGGAATATTGTAAACATATGTCATTAAGTACTCTGCAAATAATCATTTTTTATGAGATTTTGTTTTTCTCTTGTAAAATGACATTTTCCAGTGAATTATATTCAAATTGATAATTATCATGAAATAAAAATCATCATGAAATGAAAACCTATTTCTCATATTGTATAATTTCACTTTATTTTTGTTACTCGCTGGGCACATTAACTTAACAGAGAGGGTGAAAGTGGCAATGATTTTCCAGTTTTTCTATTTCTTTTTCTTTTCTTTACTTATTTTTGGTTAATTAGTTCATTTTAGTTTTGTTTCATCTATTTTTGCTAATTTTCATAGTAATTGACTTTGTCCTTTACTTTATTTTGTATTTATAATTTCCTAAAAAAAAATAATGAATAAATTAATTACCCAAATGTGCAATGAGCTGTGCATAAGTTAAAAGTTGTAATAAATTTAACAAGTATAATATGTGAAATATTGAATTAACATCATGTCTAGGGATTGAATGAATGAATTAAGTTTGATTAGCTAATTTAATTAAGAAAGGAAAAAGGAAATAGAATGAAAGAAAAAAAAGAAAACATTTTCAAAGGAATGCAAAAGTATTTTTTGAGATTAATAAAAAAAATATGAATCATGTGCATCACAATATAGTCGAAAAGACTAATTTGCTCCTTTTTATATCAGATGAGGTATTGTGCTCATTTAGTGAAACCTCACAGGAGTATATTACAATTTTGCCCAAAAAAAAAACAAAAAACCTAAAAAACTTGCGTGCTCTAGTCTACGGTCAAATTCGGCAACGGGAGTAAACTTGGCTATTTTGAAAGAGCGCAAATCACCTGCTGTGCGATTCCCATACTATTTCTTACAGTGAGCGGTAAGTGGCCTTGGTTTGGTCATTTTTTACTCCACTTAATAGACACTAAGACTGTATTTGGCAATTGCACCACTATTTATAAGTAATATTTCACCACCATTTATAAGTAACATAACAGAAGTTTAAAAGTAATATCACAAAATTTAAAAAGTAACATCACCACCATTAATATCACAGAAGCCTAAAAGTAATATCACATAGTCTAAAAAGTAACATCACTACCATTTATAAGTAACATCACATAAGTCAAAACGTGGTAATATTACTTTTTAGATTATGTGATATTACTTTTAGACTTCTGTGATATTACTTATAAATAGTAGTGAAATGTAAAAATATATATACATCTAAATATGTAACACCCAATTCAGCAAATTCAAGTTTTTGCCTAAATTTTAGACACCCAATTGAAAAAATCGATCTAATTGTGCAATTTTAACACTGGACATTATTTTGAGCACTCAACTAAGAAAATTCAAATAAAATTAAGAAATCAACCAGGTTTAGAATAATTTTTAGCATTTCTATAAATAAATTAATCAAGTTAAGCATATATTCAACAACTTATGAAATTACTTATAGTGCTTGCATTTTCAAAAAATACAATTTTTTTAGAGGCATTAACTACAATAATTCAATAATGGAGTACTACTTGTTTTAACAAAAAGAATTAATGACAATATACAATTCCTTGATTTTGAAATTTATAAATAGTGATGATGTTACTTTTTAGATTATTTTTACATTTTACCGTCATTTGTAAGTTACATCACAGAAATCTAAAAGTAATATTACTGTTTTTGAGGGTTAAGATATTTATAAATGATGGTGATGTTACGTTTTAGACTATGTGATATTACTTTTAAACTTTTGTAATGTTACTTATAAATAGTGGTGAAATGTTAATTATAAATAATGATATAATCGCCAAATACAATCTTATAATCTAATTAAGTAGAGTAAAATGTGACCAAACTAAAATCATTTATTGCTCACTGTAAAAAAAACCACTATGAAAATCACACAGCAGATGATTTGTATCCTGCACGCATCTTGCAGTGCTAGAACTGCATGCATCATTCGCTTAAAATAAGCATATTCCTCTCTCTTTGCCTTTCTTCCTTTTGTATTTTTAATTTTTAATTTTAATTTTTTTATTAGTAGAGATTTTCCGGAAGAAAAAGTCTACTCCTACCTTCTTCATATTTCCATATTCATCGTTGGGATCGTAACGTTGGCGAGAACCAAATAAATCCTAAAAATTATCCTCACAATTTGTGAATTGATATGGATCTCTGGGCCGTACATATGAAGAACACCACCAGTAGAAGTCCCTTTTTGCCGAGAAGTAGCTCGACTCCTGAGAAACCCATTTCATGGAATCTGAGAAAGATGGCTGCTTTTGAGATCAGGGTTTTGAGGTGGAGGAGTGTTCCATATGGATATCGTCAATCGCTCGTCGTCAGAGCAATGGGAAAGAAGAATCAAAATAATTCTAATTCCTCTTCTTCTTCGGGTACGTACGTACATACATATTTTCAACGATTTTGGATTCCAAGTTTAATTTTTGGATGTTGTTCAATTTTGGGATTCTGTTGTTCTGCATCAGTGTTGATGATTTTATCAATGTGAGGTCCTGTTTGTTGCTGAGAGAACTGATAGGAGAGAAGAATTTTATTTCTTTAAGGAACAATTACATATTGAGATGTTTTAGTTCTTGAGTGAGTTCAATACACTTCGTCAGATATTGTGCAATACTGTTCAGTTGACTTTTTTTTTGGTATGAAAATTAAATTTTCACTTTTCATTTAGTTTTCCACTAGTTTTTCAACAGCCAGACGGGGCATAATAATGACCTTTCTACTTTTAATTGCAATCTATAGGTTCTATACTTTACTGGTTTCACAAGTTTTAATCTTTTTGCAATATAGTGTTGTGGGCACAAACCAATTACATTTCTGACTTCTCAAATACTCATTGCATGGATGATCTGCTCGATGTAAAACTAATATAAGTTATATAACCAAAAAAGTACCCTTTATGATATCCCTGGTCTGGAATACCTCATGATGGTGACTAGGAACTGGATCTTAGTGACAATAATTAGCAGAAAGTTCCTGGATTGTCAAATTAACTAATGGGTCCACAAGTGATTGAATCCTTTTTTGCATTTTGGGCTTATTAGAATTTGGTTGAAATGTGGTGTTTAGATTGCCAATTAGAAAGTTTACCCAACAGATGCAGGAGAGAAGAGTTTGGTTTGGTTGAGATTCAGGCAAGAACAATGAAAAGAAGGAATAGGTGTGCCAATAAAAAACAGAAGGTATGCAGAAGTAGAAAGTTTTTGAAACAAATGAGTTGAGAGAGAGAGAGAGAGAGAGAGAGATCACATATTCATGTAATAAATAGGATTTGCAATACCAGTAATTTTGAGGAGCAAGCGTGCTCTTTTTTTATTTATTTTTATTTTTATTTTTTGATAATTAATAATTGAATTAAAAAGGCATTCAAAAGCCTGCTCTTACACATTACCAATCATGATTCTCAAAGGAGCTATTACAGTCTATATCAACTTTTATTTGGGCTTGGTGTTATGTGATCCTCTTTAGTTGGGCTTGGTGTTATGTGATCCTCTCCAAGAGTTACTTTATCTATCAGTTACTTAGATGTTTGAAAGAATTTGATTTGGCTATAGAAAGCATAGGTTTCAGAGGGAGGTTGGATAGGTCTAGTACGAACATTAATGTCCCCTTTTTCCCTGCACAAGCATAAATGTATAACAAGAGGCTATATAAATAAAACTAAGTATCCAAACATATGATAAAATATAAGAAATGATGTCGGGAATATTCCCGAACACAAAAATCAACCCGGGCTCGCACGGGGACCTCCCTAGCCCACAAACCTGAAATGAATAAGATGACTCTAAATGTATTTCTAAGAGTCCGTGACTCGAAGAAATGTCCAAAAGGAATTGAATCCTGTGGCACGCATCCCCACACATAAAGATATGCAATGCGTGTAAATCGAAAAATGTGGGCAAAATGGAAATTAAACCCGGTCCTCACACAACTTATTTATTATTATTGTTTTTTCTTCTCTATTCTTTCCTTCTCTCTTCCCGGCCAGTTCAGTTTCCGGCCATTGAGTTTCAACCAGTTCAGTTTCTGACCACTTCTTTGTTTTCTGGACTGTTTCATTTTGTCTGACTAGTTCAGATTTCTATTATATTCTGCCTCTACTTCTTTTTTCTTTTTCTTTTTTTTTTTTTTTTCTTTTTAATTTTTTTTTTTTTTCTGGTCATTTCTTTTTCTTTTCCGGTTCATTTACGTTATTCCGGCCAGTCTCTTTTTCCTGCCATCCTCATTCTCTGGTTTATTTTGTTTTCTTCATTCATTTCAGATTTCTTCCTTCTGGTCTGTTCTCTTCATCTAGTTTGATTATGACATCTAGAGATGTGTACAAGAACGTGCCAATTTGTGCTCAGATCAGGGGAGGACAAGATCAAGATAGAGAACCATGGGGATGTACTTACTGTGGTTGGGCTGTTTATACTGTCAATCACTGTTGGAATCATGCAAAACAGTCTGCTTATGCAAATAAGGTTTCTTATAAGGAGGATGTTCACATTCACATGCCCAATCAGATGTCCAATCTGTTGAATCTGATGTGATCAGTATCCTACATGCTAAATATGCTCAAATTTTATCGCAACAACGGGTGTCATCATCATCTTCTATGGCTATCTCTGCTCAATTAGGTATTGCATCCTCATGTTTATTGCCTGCCACTCACTGGGCCTGGATTATTGATTCTGGAGCATCAAGCCATATGCCTGGTTGCTCTCAATTATTATCCTTCATTCTGTCACTCCTTCTCAGAGCGTCACTTTTGCCAATGGTTCATCATCGAAGGTTTTAGGTTTTGGAATGACAACTTAGTTCTTCCCTATCTTTATCATATGTTTTATATGTTCCTCAATTTCCCTTTAAGTTGATGTCTATTACTAAGCTTACTAAGACACTTGAGTTCTGGTACATTTTATCCCACTTACTGTGTTTTCAAGGATATTTCAAGACAAAGAAAAAGATTGGTATGGGACATGAAACTGGTGGCTTATACTATTTTGATTTTGAACCTCATCCCATGATTTGTGATTCTTTTCTTTCTCCATTTCTGTGGCATTGCCATCTTGGCCACCCGCCACTTCCAGTTTTGCAACGACAAGTCCCAAGTCTTAGTTGTACGTCTTATGTGTCATGTGAAGCTTGTCAACTTAGTAAGCATTATTGCGTGTTCTGCAAATCTAGGATTGATAATCGTGTGTCCATTCCTTTTCAGCTGATTCTTTCAGATGTATGGGGTCGAATAAACATACTTCTCTTAACGGATTTCATTATTTTGTGACTTTCATGGATGACTTGGTTGTTTTAATGAAAGATTGATTTGAGTTATTTTCAATCTTTTAAATATTTCGTAAGAAATTAAGCCTAATTTGGATGTTCAATTCATGTCTCGCGTTTAGATAATGCCAAAGAATATGTGTCAGTTCCTTTTGATACATATCTTCGTGAGAAAGGTATTTAAGTGGCACATCATCAACAATGATTCACATAGCTTGGTCAAATAGTCAACGGGCAAGTTATGTGGCACATGCCACATCATCAAACGGAAGACTTGAAGACCTGAGTTGAGAGTAGGACTCAGGAATACCTTGGATCTGAGGAGGTGCTTGGTTTGGTGGCTGAAGTCTAGGGTCCATCAAGTCAATCCTCGACTTGACTTGTAGAGAGAGAAATACCATATTGACTCCATACAACTTATTCCCGTTTTAGTTAACATTGTTTTATATTTTTTTGAGAAATTTATCTATTTTAATTATTATGTCAATAAACCCATATGTTTGGTCAAAGTATGATATCACCCACTTTCTCACTTCGCCTATAAAAGAAGATGATCCAAGGCCAACAAAGATAGAGCAAAGAGGGAGGAAAGAACCTCCTAAACATTGAGAGCTCTTATACTCTCTTACACCCATGCTCTCTCCACATCCTCTAAACCTTCACCAATGGATTCAATGGTGTAACATGCTGCCATCTTCTCTTTCTCTCTAGTTTGTTTGGGCTTCCACCTCTATCAGTCCACCTTGGATCCTACTATGTTTATCCAATGCCTTCTATATTTTTTTTATTATTATTTGATTTTAGGAAACCACATTTTGGAGACTGCATTGGGGAGGTATTGCCGTATAAATCAAATGGCAAACCAAAAAACAGATTATGCCAAAACTCTTTGAGTTTCCTAAATCCACTTCAGGTTCTATCAAATCAGCCCCTGTTAGTGCGATAACGTCTCCACCATAGTTGTTCGTATGAGCGCAAAAGAAATCATGGGACCGAAAAATGGTGCATGACGCCACTTGGACCCAGGAGGAACTGTTTTTTTTTTCTTTGATAAGTAATAATCAATTAAAAGAGTGTTCAAAAGGGGAACGGGTTCAGAAACAGAATCAAAAGAAGGACCTAAGGACCCATGGAGTCCAAAAGATCAATTAAATCTACAGAAGAGGAGCAATAGCTTCCTTTTACATGGCAAAAAATAGAACGTAGAATATGGAGTTTCAGAGTCGCCAAGGGCGCTTCCTTCCCTTCAAAAATTCTGTTATTCCTTTCTTTCCATATACACTACCATACACAGTGTGGAACAATCCTCCAATAATCACGAGCGTGACATTTGACTTGGCACCCTCTCCATGCATTAATCAGGCATTTGGTGGACTGTGGCATGACCCAATACATGCCAAATAAGCCTAAGATAAGGTTCCAGCAATCGTTTGCCATCGGACAGTGTATAAGGATGTGATCCATAGACTCGCCGTCACGTTTGCAAAGACAACACCAATTGACAATTAGATTGCCTCTCTTCCGCAAATTGTCTAGCGTCAAAATGTTACCCCAAACGGCGGTCCAAACAAAGAAAGCCACTCTAGGTGGTGCCTTGGAGCGCCAAATAGTATTCCATGGAAAGATAGGACCAACGAAGTTAGAAAGGCATAGAAACATGGACCGAACATTGAATCTTCCATTGGAAGAAGGAACCCACAAAATGTCGTCAGTACCTCGTCCGACTGCCTCCTGCTGATACAACAAATCCATAAAGGCATAGATCTCTTTCAGCTCCCAATCCTGAAAAGAACGTCTAAAACGCACGTCCCAAGTAACCCCACTGCTATCAAGCCGATAGCAATCAGCTACATAGGCGTGTCTATAGACAGCTATATGATAAAGTTTGGGAAAGGAGCAAGACAGCAGCTGATCTCCACACCATAAATCCTCCCAAAAACGGATGTACCGACCATCGCGCGCCTTGAATTTAATATGTGAAGAGAAGACAACCCATCCATTCCGGATAAACTTCCACAAACCAACACCTCCCGCTATAGAAACTGGGAGGGAAGACCAATCACCACTTTCCTCACCAAAGCGGCAAGCAACAATCCTTCTCCACTGGCGATGA